CAGTAAAATTCTTGGGTGTAATTGAGTAGTGTTAATCAGAGCACAGAGAGGAACTGAAGCAGTACTTCAATCTTCCTGTAAATAGATAAGATCACACTTGACCTCTGTTACTAAAATGATATTTGCTTCTGAGTACTCTAAGGTTGTAATCTTGGAAGCAAGGTCTCTCTTACGCAGTTTATTCATCGTAATATTAAGCTGTGGAAGGGACAAGACACTTGATGGGCTGTGGAATAATGTCACAATTGACAGAAGTAAATAAACTTTCAGGTTATTATATTCTCATCAACTGTTCTCAATTCTCTAAACATTTTCAAGGTACACTCTAGATTACGTGTTCTTAATTGTAAGCAGCAGTCCCTGGGGTTGGTGCATGTGCTTGGAAAGCCACCTTGTCTTCAGATGACAAACATGAAGTAGTTTGTTATGCATATTCTTACGGGCTATCGCTATGAGCTGAAATCCCAGTGGCTTTCTTTTTCCTGTGGAGTTAGTGCTACTTTTGTAGCTACTGCTTGTCTGTTAGTACAAGAACAAACTTAGTCCTGATGAGGTTTTTCTTAATCCTAATTCTGATGAGGGTTGTTTTTTATTATGCTGCCTTATCTCTTTTATTACCAGGATCCCATGCGGTATTGAAATCCATATCATATTCCATTAATATGGCTATCTGTCTGTAAATTCATTAACTGTGGCAGTGACACTTTCTTAAACAGACCAAAAGGAGATGAAACACTTCATCACTGGCTCTTCTCCCTTTTTGGGTTACACAAACTCAGAAGATAAATTCTACATCCTCTTCATTAGTTAGAGGCTGGTAATTTGTATGCTAGTCTTACATGAACACAGTACAACTCTTCTACTGTAAAGGCACTGTCATTTAAGATGTGGATAGGTAAAAATACTTTTTTTGCTTTTTGGCATTCTTTATAATAGTTATTTTCTGGCTAAAGCAATTACAACAGTGACCTATACGTGCTGTATATAAGTAACAATGTATAATACAGCCCTGCTCTCCAGAGGCAGATGAAATTCCCATGAAGATCCAATTTTATCATGTCTGTTAAGAGTTTAGATATACTAACTTTGTTTGTGATTGCCCTGTCAGAAGTCAAATACCTGAACTGAGCTGTCGTCCCAGAAGTTCAAAATCTTGGACAGGCGTAAGACTGCTAAAAACTTGTTCCTCGTTCTACTGTAATGGCAGGAAATCCTGAGTTCCAGTAGCTGAAATTTTTCATTGTGTAGCATCAACTCCTGTATTCAAACAATGGGTAAGTTCTACTGCACTGGGGAGTCAGTCTAGTAATATTTGCATACGAGAGGTTTTATTTCAGTGTATCAGATGGCCAGCTTAATTATAGAGGGCAAAACACTGTTTTTTCTTTTATTTGGCCATGCCAACACAATTTATTCCTTGTATTTTCAGTACATGCATGATTGGCTTTTCATTTTTTTCCAACATTAGGAGAACAGTTTTGCATGAATATTCAGATCTACATACAGACCAGAGCAAAAAGCTTGTTTTGTTTTCCTCACATGTAACTAACCTGATCACTCAATACTACAACATAAATAGTAGTGGATATTTGTTTTTTGTTTGGTTTTTTGGTCTTTTTTTTTTTTAAAAAAAGCTTCATGAACAACAATCTAGAACTTGTTCTGCAGCAGTTTTGTAGGTAATCTGCAGACTTTGGTTCAACTGTTTGCAAGCAGAACAAAAGACTGTTGTAAACGCATCAGGAATTAGCAACAAATGCTACAAGCATTTCTACTTGCTTGGTTTGTTCTCAGCATTTTCAACATAGACCAGTAAAACAATGTACTGGAGGCAACAGAACGCTATGAGGGCACTTAAGCAATAGCCTGGCTAGTGTAAAAAGTGGTTTAGGGTTTTGCCAGTACTGAGAATTCAGATCCCAGTTTGCAGTCCATATATTACTTCACATAGATGTAAATATAGCTTGGGAGCATGGGGGATATAGGCCAAAGGTGTGCCTAAGGGTTACTTTTCACTGAAAAAAAAAAAAAAAAAAATCACAATTCTTTTGAATTGTGACTTTTGCCTAACGTAGACCCTAGTGCTGCATTCTCATTCCAGAAAGGTCTGCCTGGTTCCCGACACATTGCTCCTATTGGCAGTCAGCCTGTGCTGCTGCATTTCACCAATTAAACCAGGGATACTTTGCCTGAAGAATCTCCGGCACTAGCTCATGGGGCTGAATTTCCTCCTGAAGATATTAAAGGATTATCTGCCATGTGCAAGGGCCATCTAATTTTACTGGGCCTGTTCCAGTGCCATGTTTTTCCCTTACTGCTCGTTTCCTGCAGATGCCAGTTTTCCTGTGCTCTCCCTCGCCTTGGTCTGCAAGGAGACAGAAGCGGCAATCCAAGTACCAATACAGGGAATGAGAGGGACCTGCTGTTTCTTGGAAGGGAGGCAGAATACCAGGCAAGTCTGTTCTCTGAGCAGCTCCATCTTCTGGTACTATGGAGAAGTTACAGATTTTTAATGTTTTGGTTTTAGAAACTAAGACAAAGTAACCCAGTTGTAATAGGTACTTAAAAAGGAGAAAAAGAATGTTTTTAAAGTTATAAGGGGAGCTCAAGTTAACCTATGTAAGTAATATAATTTCACTTCCAAGCTTAACAATTGCAGTCTTACTATTCTAAGTGACTGAGACTGAGACATTTCTCTTGCCGGTCTACAAGCCTGCATTACTCAGTGGAGTTTGCTTTTGGGGTTTTTTTTCCCCCTCAAGTTTTTCAGAGCTGGCAAACTGTAGAAGGCCTCTGACTCAGCTGTAACGTAGTAATTTTCAGTGTTTTTCCAAGGTGTTAATACTTAGATTTTTCTTCTTGAACAGATCTTCCAATTAATTCTTTTGCCCTTTAAGATGCCATATGCTTGCAAATGTTACATCTTCAGGTGTAAGCTTTCCCTCATTTACTAAATTAGTAAATATTCTTTGCCCAGATAAGAGGTTTACAGCCTCCATTCTGTTTACAAGATTTTCTCCTCACTCCTGTATCTTGAAGTTTAGTTATGAATCACTGATACTTTATCAACTTTGTAGTCTAGAAGAGTACAGACATCACCTTCAACTCATGCACAATTGAATTACACTGTACTTTTTAATTAGACTTATCAGAGAATAGTAACTGATCAAGGACCCACCCAAAGTATTTAGGGTCCAATTTTACAGGGTGAGTACTGTCCTTCACTTTGTTGCAAAGATCTAACATCATTCATTGCCACTTCTATTGCCACATTCCCTGTTTTGCTGCTATTTTTTATCCGAAGGCTCTTAGCTACCATTTGGCTTAGCTAAAATGCAAACTTAGCAAAAACTGAATTCTTAAGGTTTACATATAAGCCTTCCAAAGCCCATTACAATAAATGAGCACTCTTTCAAAGAGGTCTTGTGATATGTTTTGTGGTAGATCAGCTTAAGCAAGTGAATGCCTCGCTCCAGGCCTTGATCACTTATTCCCACATCCAAGCCTGGATCTTGCTCTTTGGGTACAAGAGGTTTTATGGTGAATCAGCTCATTATGACCCACTAAAATGATGATACAGTGAAGAAAATTAAAGGCCCTGTATTTTTAGCTGGATCACTTCCCTATTTTAGTTTGGTGTGGCATGAGCAGGAACAAGTAGCCAGAATTCAGAGGTGGTAGAACAGGATCAGGTAAGAGACGTTGGGATGAGAGGAAGATGGATGGTAACTGCTTATGTTGCTGGAAAAAGCTACTTGCAAAGGACATTTACATGAGATCTTTAGTAATACAGGCTTCTACAAACTTGTGTATTAGTGGAACAGTCCTTTTGTCAATTCCCATTTACCTGTGTTTTTATGTGCAGAGTTGGTAACAAAATTCTGGACGGTTCATGAGATTTGTCTTCTAATGTCATGATGTTTAACATTGAGACATGTTTTGAGACTTAGGGGCCTGCATCTTTTTAGCCTTGTATTACCTCTGAGGCTAAACCTGCCTGGTGGCTTTACTAGTGCAGATGTTTATCAGCATCAACTTGTTAGATGCTGTGCTAGTTTTGGCTGGGTTAGAGTTCATTTTCTTCATAGCAGCTAGGATGGGGCTGTGTTCTGGATTTGTGCTGGAAACAGTGTTGGTGACACAGGGATGTTTTCGTTACTGCTGAGCAGTGCTGACACAGAGTCAAGGCCGTTTCTGCTCCTCACCCCACCCCACCAGCGAGCAGGCTGGGGGTGCACAAGAAGCTGGGAGGGGGCACAGCCGGGACAGCTGACCCCAACTGACCCAAGGGATATCCCACACCATAGGACGTCATGCTCAGCAGTAAAAGCTGGGGGAAGGAGGAAGGGGGGGACGTTCGGAGTGATGGTGCTTGTCTTCCCAAGTCACTGTTAGGCATGATGGAGCCCTGCTTTCCTGGGGATGGCTGAACACCTGCCTGCTGATGGGAAGCAGTGAATGAATTCCTTGTTTTGCTTTGCTTGCGCGTGCAGCTTTTCTTTCACCTACTACACTGTCTTTATCTCAACCCACGAGTTTTCTCACTTCTACCCTTCTGATTCTCTCCCCCATCCCACCGGGGGGGAGTGAGCGAGCAGCTGGGTGGTGCTTAGTTGCCAGCTGGGGTTAAACCATGGCAGATGCTCAGATACTACAGTAACAAAAAACAGTAGTATTTTTACTGGAAATAACATAGAAAAAGCTAAGGGGCAGACATTTACAAGCTTCTGCAAAGCACTGCCCTTCACAGTATAGCAGATACTACTAGCAAGAGACAGGACCAAGGACCCTTAGCAATCTGTTACCTGAAAGTGACTGTCTATTTTCAGTACTATATAAACAGTTTAGTGAATCCCAGCTATAACCTACAGTCCACCAGTATGCAGTGGAGGTGAGTAGCCAGTTGTGTGAGTATACGGTACACAGCTTTTATCAACCTGGGTAGACTTGTTTTGCCATGAAAGACACTAGTAACTGGAAAGAAATCAAGTGACAACAGTGACAGACAATTGAAAAGGGAAGTTTATTAGGTGAAGGAGGGAGATCTAGAGAAATGGTTTTCAAATGCAGTTTGTTTCATATGGACTAATGAGGCAGGGAAAGTAGCTTGTTAAATGATTCATACCCCTCCAACACATTCAATGAAGGTATTGATAATATACATTTCCCCACATCCAAATTATCTCCTACAAAATAGGGAAGACTAGACTATTTCTAGAAGGAAAAAATGTGGGGAAAACAATATTAAAAATTCAGATCTTTGTATATGTAATAGAGGAACAAAATAGAACAATCATGATAAAGGGTCACAAGTCACTTGTGTTTCTTTTTAAAGATTTAGGCACAGCCTAAACACACCTAACACACCATGTTAACTATTCTGTCCCCCCCCCATCTGAAAACGGATTATATGGTTATAAAGCTCCTTCCCATCCAGAGTTGGCTGTCCCAAACTTTAGTATTTCTTATATTGCTAATGACTATAAACAACAAAAGGAAGAGATGTTCAAAGTAGATGCTACCTATATATGTAGTCCAATTTTACCAGATGCTAAAGTTACCCTCATTACCCATATTGAGTGGGCAAGCAAAATGCTTCCAAATCAACTATAATCTTGAATTTAAGATGGTTGATTGTTGGCAGAAAGCCTATTCACTGACAATTAAAGAACATCTTTTCAGAAGGTAGTAGGTACAAGTACATTGTTCATGCCACTTACTAAAAAATTGGACACAGTAACGGCAAGTGAACAAGAGAATTTCTGAACTTACTTTAAAAATTTGTCTTGTCATGACAGTAATTACAATAAAGTTGAATCAGCTAAAGCCATTTGTTTTCAGGTTCTGTGTTTGGTTCTGAATTAAGCAGGGTTCAGTTTGTACACTGTCTTATAAATCAGATTAAATTAATGTAACATTTTTAACAAAATAATTTTTAATCCTTTAAAAACACCTGTAAAAAAGGTACATGGTAATCCAATTTTCAACCCCCCCATCTTAAATATATTTGGTTTTCCTATTTGCATATAAAAAGGGAAAAGTTGTCATGCAAATATTCTGAACAGTGTGATAATATTCAGTAGAACCATTAAACACATGAATTTTTTAGTAATCGTTCTGACTTTCCTTTTAGTAGTATACAAGCCAGGGTGTAACCTCAGTTCCTCAGCAGTAAATTAAATTTCTTGTTTGAAAACCCCCAAAAGCACCATGCAAGAGCTGATCTATTTCCACTTTAAGTCACATATTAGTGCTATATGATCAGAAGGATGTGAAACACTTGGCAAAGCCTGGTGGGTTGTTACTTCTTCATGACTTGGCAACGGAATGACCTGTTCAACCTCAAGAGCATTTTTGTCAATGAAAATGTAGTCCAGACATCCATGAAACCCACCAACATAGTTTGTATAAGCAGGTTCTCCGCAAGCACTTAGCAGTTTGAAAGAATGGCTTAGAGGCATATTGCACCTTTCTTCTTCACCATTCGAGACCCAGTCTTCATGATCTTCAGCAATGCCACCACTGTTAATAAAACTGTAAGTTCCAGATGATGGTGTACTATTAAAATCTCCACAGAATATGATTGGTATGCTAGGATACAAATCACATGCTACGTGCTTGATGTGAGACAAGGCTACAGCGATTTGGATGAGACGGATGTTCCCACCTAAGAATATAAAAATGTATTACTTTAAATACTTCACAGTAGCATTGGAGGAATTTTCCAAGTCATTTAAGCATATATCATGTATAGCTCTGAAACAGCAATCTCATTTTAAATTTTCTGGGCACTACGTTTTAGAATAGTTTTCATAAATAAAGAAGCCTTTGAAGTTTGTGACTATGCAAGTTTTAGAGAGGCAGACAATGTTTTAATTTAAACTGACGCATGCAAGAACTCTGAACCTTAAACATCCATATTACAGCAGCTTTCTATTTCGTGGCAACCATCCTAGTAGTGTTCCCGAAAGACACAGAACCAAAAGAAAACTAATTTAAAAGAGGAGAATCTTTTCTAAAAGCTTCTGTAGCCCAATTTGGTTGCTCTTCTGGCAGTACCCCAATATAACTCCTTCAGGTACAACAGGATCGGGAAGCCATGAGCACACACAAAGCTATCTATATTTTATGGTCTACTCTTTGGGTGAATCGTGCGTAACATGACTTGCCTTGCTTTCAGCTGTATTCTACTGACTCCCAGGCAAACTAGAATAATCTTACTCTAAGAAAAATAAACAGACAGACCTAGTAGCCTGGCTTGATTCATCTAGCTAAGAAGCAAGGCAGGAAACCCTCAGTTCCAGAAGAAAAGGTTATAGCTGCAAAAGAATGGGGGAAAATCTATTCTCCCTAGGAAGGACAAAAACCTTTACAAACCCAGTTATTCTACATACAGGAACATGACAAAATTACCTTTTGGATGCCAGTATAGGTGGGTATTAGCTACACAAATCTTCCTGGAAGGATCAGTTGTAGACTGAAGAACTGAAACCTTCAAGAGAAAAAGAAATCTTTGATAAGTCTTAAATATATATATTAAAAAATGCAATAGTTAGCTTATGCCTTTATGGTCCAGTTCAAAGAATCTGATGTTTATAACTAATGAACAGTACAGCTCCTAAGTCGACTCTATTTATCTTCTATATAAGGTCTGGATATCAGCCAATGTATTACCAATATTACCACTACATCCAGGTATTTGACAAATGTTCTTTTGTCCGTGTCTGGTTTGGCCGTATTTTTTCCTTCAATCCATTCCATATTTTTTTCATAAGATGTTGCTAATACTGTACCATTCTTAACTACTTCTATTGTCTGTTCTCCCACCTCTGCAACAGAATTGGAGCTGTGTCTCTGGTTTTAGCAAGCAAAGTGTAGCATTGCGTAAGTGTTAAACTGAACGTAAATTTAGAAGTGATTTCAGTTATCAAGGAAAGCTTGTTAGTCCTACTCAGTCCACGAGTAGGAAACTTTTACCAATGAGTGTTTCTGAAATTTCTGACACAGACCTAGATCTTACACGTTTGTACTTACAGGATAGTTCTGCTGGCAGACCCACTGGCATCAACAAGCTCACAAGCCTCTCCAACCTTATTCCTCTCCCTACCATCACTTTGTAAAGTGGCATTATTAAAGCAAGCCAAATTAATTTAATCTCATTTACAACTGATTTACAAGATTTAAGTTTTATCAAATACATATTCTGACATACGAGAGTAAGTAGTGAAAAACTTGGCAACCAATACCACCATCGATACCTTGCCCTGAATCTCAACAGCCGTCTTCATCTTAAAACACAGAACATCATTTTGCCTTTTTTACCAAGTTTTGGTAATTCCATATATCCAGTTCAGTAAAGTCTCAATATTTTGTTCTTGTTCCTAAGTTGCTCTTCTGCTCTATTCATTACCCTAGCTAACAGAGAACATTTCACTGTTCTGTCTATGTTTCACACCGTTAATCCTTCGCCTCCCTTCTCCTGTGGTTTGATGCTCAACAAACCTAGCTTGGCTGCACCTGCCTGGAGACAGTGGGAAGAGGAGAGGGGAAGAATGCACGTAAAAGCTGGTACCTGCAGCACAGATGATCTCTGCAGCACCTTCTCCTGCACCAAGGGGTACTCGGCCAGCTTATCACACAACTCCTTGTGCAGCGGGTCCGAGAGCAGGGCTTCACTGAAAGCTATGTCGTGCTGGCTAAGGAGGCTGAACTTGTCCCTGCGGTAGAAAGTGGCCAGGCCTTCATGCTGCTTCTCCTTGATCTTGAAGAGCCCTTCGAGTCCAAAAGCATCTAGGGCTGGAGCCAAGCTGTCCACGAAGACAGACTTATCCACTTCTTGCAAGCAGATGAGGTCGGCACTGTAGCCCGCCAGCTCCTTCTTGAGCAGGTTCTGCCGGTAGTCGAGCTCCAGGGCGTATGGAGCACAGTAGGGGTAGAGCACGGTGCGGGAGAACTCCGTCTGGGCGTAGGTGTCGGCCAGGATGTTGTAGGAGACGGCTCGAATGGAGCCCTCGCCGCAGACCTTCTTGGTGTAGAGGTGCCGGGAGTCGAAGGTGCAGGCGCCGGGGCCGGCCTCCACGGGGCCGCTGCTCTCCACCTCGCGGGGCGGCCCGTAGCGCTGCGCTCCGTCCCCGGG